GACAGTCAAAATGGTGAGACACAAGAGGACTCTCACTGGTGAGAAACTCTTTGAATGTCCGGATTGTGAGAAAAGTTTCAGTTTCAATTCCAACCTGTTTATTCACCAGAGGACTCACACAGGAGAGAAACCATATGAGTGTCTGTATTGTGGGAAAAGTTTCACTCAGAATGCCAGTCTGGTGATACATCAGAGGACTCACACGGGAGAGAAGCCATATGAGTGTCCGGATTGTGGGAAAAGTTTCAGTCGGAATTCCCACTTGGTGACACATCAGAGGACTCACACAGGAGAGAAACCATATGAGTGTCCGGATTGTGGGAAAAGTTTCAGTCAGAATGACAACCTGATGAAACATCAGATGACTCACACAGGAGAGAAACCATATAAGTGTTTGAATTGTGGGAAATGTTTCTCTCAGAATTGTAGTCTGGTGACACACCAGAGAACTCACACAGGAGAGAAACCATATAAGTGTTTGAATTGTGGAAAAAGTTTCCAGCAGAATGGCCACCTGGTAAAACACCACCGAATTCACACAGGAGAGAAACCATATGAATGTGCGGATTGTGGGAAAAGTTTCGGTCAGAGTTCCCACCTGGTGACACATCAGAGGACTCACACAGGAGAGAAACCGTATGAGTGTCTGGGTTGTGGGAAAAGGTTCAGTCAAAATGACAATCTGATGAAACATCAGAGGACTCACACAGGAGAGAAACCATATAAGTGTTTGCATTGTGGAAAAAGTTTCAGTCAGAATTCCTACTTGGTGAAACACCACCAAATTCACACAGGAGAGAAACCGTATGAGTGTGCGGATTGTGGGAAAAGTTTCAGTCAGAGTTCCCACCTGGTGAAATATCAGAGGACACACACAGGAGAAAAACCATATGAATGTCCAGATTGTGGGAAAAGTTTCCAGCAGAATTCCCACCTAGTGGAACATCAGAAGACTCACACAGGAGAGAAACCATATAAGTGTTGTGATTGTGGGAAAGGTTTCTCTCAGAATTCGAGCCTGGTGGTACACAAGAGGACTCACACGAGAGAGAAACCATACAAATGTCCTAATTGTGAGAAAAGTTTCGATCTCAATTCCAAATTGGTGATTCACCAGAGGACACATGTGGAAGAGAAACCGTATGAGTGTTTGGATTGTGGGAAAAGTTTCAGGCAAAGTTCCTACCTGGTGAAACATCAGAGGACTCATACGGGCGAGAAGCCATATGAGTGTCCAGATTGTAGGAAAAGTTTCAGTCAGAATTCCCATCTGCTGAGACATCGGAGGATTCACACAG